TATTTAGTTTTGGTGATAAACTTACTCCAAATAGGTTACCACTTACCAAATTTTACTCAAGGCAGTATATAAATGTTAAAAATTACTCTTTCAATTGAAATGTACCAGAATGTTATTTATTTTCACCCACAAGAAGAATTCCCCTTATACCAGATCCAATCTGTAACATCCTCAAAGTTTCCAAACCTATTTTGATTTATATTTTCCATGAAATAGAGACCTCATAAAAAAATGGACTATTGTAAGATCCGGAAACATAATGCTGCGTAAATTGGCAAGAGAAGTGCTGAGCGATCATGGACTGATGAAGAAGCGGGTTGTGGAATAAGAACAAAGGATCTATTGCGGCTCCTTACAACCAGAAACTATCTCAAGTTGCTACTTGCTCTAACTGGGAAGTTATAAATGTTTAAAGGAAAGCGCGCAGTTTAGTGAAAGTGCGAATTTTCCGTCGCTCGCAAGAGTGCAATCAAAGTGAAGCATTCACAAATCATGGCATATTTTGCGAATGATTTATTCTGATTCTGGTGGATCTGCAAAACATTGTGCAGCCTCTCACATAGATCAAAGTAAAAAGGTTTCCGCGTTTCATGATAATTGACCAAACTAGTATTCAAAAGAGTATTTAACTTAGCATTCAAAAGTCGCTCCATGAACCAATGTTTGTTTATCTTTACCCGAGAAAGCAACTTTGTTTACGCTAAATATCCAAACCAGTTCAATCACAGACCGGAAATTTGTAAAAAATCGATATCAATAAGAAAAAAACGAGCTGAGTGAGCAAACGATTATATCATTATGTGAGCTCGGAGCGTTTTGTATAATAAACACCTTAATTTCGCATGAGTTTTTTTGGAAAGCTGAGCACTTACTTCAGTCCATTATGGGCAAGGGCTCGGTCGTCGGTCCTTTGTTCATAAACGGAATAAAAGTATCAATTTAGTGCCATTTAGGTCGACCATCTTACCTGTTAATTGCTGATCCACATTTATTGTTGCAGACTTTCTTGCAACAAACGGTCAAAAACACCCTAAATCGTTGATCTTCTCAGCGAAGACCTTTTTTAAGTGCCCGATCAGGCGGGAAGGGAATAAATTCCAGTCAGCACCCACCGAACATACTCCCAAGGGGGGATATTTTGTGTCAGCACCCGAAAATCGAACGCGTAGCATCGCTCCCACAGGCACTTGCGTGCACCCTCTCATTTATTTGATTTACCCGTTGTCTAAATTGACTCGGGCATCTATATTAGACTTTTGGAGTATTGTGCAAAAAAGGGCTCAGTACCTTAGTGATTGGAACCACAACTAGTTCCAACCAACCCAGAACGCCGACCTCCTGAAGATTATTCGAAATGCAAATTCGTGCAGTACCGGACTGCAGCAACGTTGCGGACGCAACAAGGCTTGCTCATCTGAATCGAAAAGAAAAGTCGACCAAACAAATTACTCTGGGGGCTGACAGACAACAGGCTGCTTGGCTCCAAAACTGTGAGTGTTTCAAACTTGATTTCCCTTTGAAG